AATATTCAATGGATAAATATTCAATGGATAAATATTCAATGGATAAATATTCGGTGGACAAATATTCAATGGATCAATATTCAATGGACAAATATTCAATGGATAAATATTCAATGGATAAATATTCAATGGATAAATATTCAATGGATAAATATTCAATGGATAAATATTCGGTGGACAAATATTCAATGGATCAATATTCAATGGACAAATATTCAATGGATCAATATTCAATGGATAAATATTCAATGGATAAATATTCGGTGGACAAATATTTAATGGACAAATATTTAATGGATAAATATTCAATGGATAAATATTCGGTGGATAAATATTCAATGGATCAATATTCAATGGATAAGTATTCAATGGACAAATATTCGGTGGAGAAATATTCAATGGATCCATATTAAATGAATAAATATTCAATGGATCAATATCCAACGGATAAATATTCAATGGATAAATATTCAATGAATAAATATTCAATGGACAAATATTCAACGGATAAATAATCAATGAAACAGAGACACCAGTTACAGGTTGGATTTATTCATTAACAGTTCCAACAAGTGAAAAGTAGTGCGTGCGTCGACAGTCTCGAATTATTTTAATTACTCCACCGTTGTGTTAATTGCCAGTATTCCTTTTCATCGCCTTTAACGACCGTCTATTAATTACTTTTTTTTTGTTGCGTACATTTTGCGAAGTTCATTACGTATATCGAATTCTTCGCTGTTATTAATTTGTACTCGTTCTTCTCTCGCAGATTAAAACTTCCCGTCATGTTACAGCTGGCCGATAAAATACTGGTGTCCGGATTACAGTGACAAGTACTTTTCAGCGTTCGTTCTGGTCCGTTACCTAATTCGAAAGGATCCGAGTATGAATTTCAACCAGATGCCCGCGTTACTCGATCATTGCTTGTTCATAAAGTCTGTCCATTAGCCTAGTCTTTCCGTTAATTCCGGATCTCGTCGCATTTTTTTTTGTAATTACCGGTAATTCGGTGAAATATATTCCAGTCGATACGTATTTTTCCCGGTATTCCTTGCATTTCCAAACGGCGGTGAACGCAAAAAGAGAGCGGTATAATTAGACCGCGGATCATATTAAATGTTTTCCAAGCCGATTGCAAGAAACAGAAATCAGAACGCAAGTAAATCGTTCCCCCTTCAATAATTCTGATAAGTCGAAAAAATTGTTGCTATGCTTTCACAATAGTTTTTTAAATAATAAACGTTTAACAACTATTAACAATGAAACCAAACAATTTCAAAGTCGGCTCAATTTTTCGCGGCAAGACCGTCGCGGGAGAGTTCGGTTTTCATTTTTTTTAACCGTGGCGCAGTCAAGCGAAAAATCTAAAAAAATTCAGGAACGATGATTCGAACAATACATCGATACTGTAAAAATATGAAAATAGTCACTCTAGAAATTCCGCGTGAAATCTGCACTTTTCTCGATTTTTCTCGACTTTCCTTCGGTTCCCGATTTTTCACGAGCAGGATACTCGATCTAAAAATCCGGGACAAATTGCAAACTGTGCGTTCGAGTGTTAGACAGGTCTCAGAATTTTTTCAGAATTTCAAAACATCGAGCAGAGAGGATACATCGAATTACAATCATTCGATTTTACCGGCTCGCCGATCGAGACCGATACCGGATCGAATTCATTAATTCGGCACGTTCGCTCTCGAATCACGGGCATCACGTGACCCGAAATACCGGTAGAAACGTGGAAGAAATTTCGGCCGTTCACCGGTTTACCGGTATCGCAACCCCTATCGAGGAGCGGCGAGCGACGAAAGCGGCGGCGGCATTGGCATCGGCACGCGGAGAACGGATTCGGTCGCGGCGAGCAATCGACGGCGAACGGCCGAACGTAACAGGAACTAACCGGCGGATTTTCGCAGGAAAATCGCCGCTTACCGTGCGTCCCTCTCCGGCATCGGGCCCACGGTGCACGGCCGTTCCTCGCCGGTGAACCCGTTTATCGGATAATTTCGATATCGTGTGTATGCGATCCGTGATATTTTCAACGAAAGAAACGCGCGCGCGCCTTTCACCGGTCAAGCTCGGCCGATCGGCGCCCGCAGACACCCCGCTCGAAATCTACATTGTAAGAGCGCGGCCGAACGGCCGGTGACACTAATTGCCCGGTGAGCGCGGAGTACGTTAATATTTTCGCGGGATCGCGATAAGCGGCGGAGGCCGAGCGTTAAAGTTGTCCGGCGTGGAATGCGCGCCGCGCGGAAGAATGCGCGGACATTCGGCGAGCGTCCCGGGAATGTCGCGTCGTCGCTGGACCGTTCGGGCTAAAACGGCGTGTCCGGGGATGCGATAGCGCCGCGTTTCAATTAGATTTCCATTGCGAGCCGCGTTTATCGTTCGCGGAAACCGTAACGGATTAAACGGTTCCACGTCGCCGGGGTTTAATTAAAAGCGAGCACGCTCGCCGGGAAAAAAGGAACGGGACGCCGAGCAATACCTTCTAAGGGAGTAATTGTTCTGGACGCGTCGCGTCCGCGGCTGGTGCAATTACTGTTTCTAATGGACCTAGCGATTTTTACGGTTTCGAACAACTTTTTCATTTGCTGGAAACGAGGAGTCTAGTACTAAGATATCGCGGGCCCAACCTAATCAATATTTAATAAAGGGCCCCACCGCGGATTTTAGTGACATTCGATCATGTTATTAGTCTTGTCATTTGGAATAACTTTTTCCTTTGTGCAACATGCGAATCTATTTCAATTTTGAAGATATTGCAGGCTCAAACGTCGCATAATCAATAGCTGACAAAGGCCCCCACATCCGATTTTAATGACGTTTGAATATGTTATAAATTTTTTCATTTGGAACAACTTTTTCCTTTGTGCAAAATGCGAATCTATTTCAATTTTGAAGATATTGCAGGCTCAAACGTCGCATAATGAATATCTAACACAGGGCTCCTCATTCGATTTTAATGACATTTGATTATACCATAGATCTTGCCATTTGCAACAACTTTTTCCTTTGTACGATAATCGAGTCTGCTTTAGTTTCAAAGATATTGCAGATCCAAACGTAGCCTAATCAATATCTAACATAGGGCCCCTCCTCCGATTTTAATGGCATTCGAATGTGTTATAAATCTTGTCATCTGGAACAACTTTTTCCTTTGTGCAAAATGCGAGTCTGCTTCAGTTTCCAAGATATTGCTGACCCAATCACTGCCTAATTAGTACCTAACACAGGGTCCCCTCCTCCTCCCTCAGTGAATTCAGCAAATTCAGCATATTCAGTATATTCAGTAAATTCAGTAAATTCAGTAAATTCAATAAATTCAATAAATTCAATGAATTAAGTGAATTCAGTAAATTCAATGTATTCAATGAATTCAGTAAATTAAATCAATTCAATGAATTCAATGAATTCAGTAAATTAAATCAATTCAATGAATTCAAACAAATTCAATGAATTCAATATTCGATGTATTCAATAATTCGATGTATTCAATATTCGATGTATTCAATAATTCGATGTATTCAATCACTACAATGTATTCAATCACTACAATGAATTCAATCACTACAATGAATTCAATCACATCAATGAATACAATCACTACAATGAATTCAATCACTTCAATGAATTCAATCACTTCAATGAATTCAATCAATTCAATGAAGACAATCAATTCAATGAATTCTATCATTTCAATGAATTCGATCAATTCAATGAATTCGACCAATTCAATCAATTCAATCAATTCAGTGAATTCAATGAATTCATTTCATTCAATAAATTCAATAAGATTATAATCCAGATCTAAGCTATGATCATAACGTTTGGATATTCATGGCTTTCGATTTTCTGTGAAATCTGGTTTAGAACTGGATCAGTCCTGCCTATATAACGTCTCGATTAGGTGTCCATCGCGTCTGAACGAACACGATAACGAATCGCGTAGTAACAATCGCGGACCGATTCTCTGCTAAACAATTACCGGCGCGTAATACCGAGATTATAGGCTACCATTCGGCTACCTCGTGTCCTTTCCTTCGAGACGGAAAAGTCCGTCGTAATCGCGCTCGGCTTTTCCATTCTGCTCGTAATAATAATGCTCGGCAGCGATCCGGATCTTAATGACGGTACTTTGTATCGAATTAATCAACGTTAGGCATCGCATCGATCTTATAGAGCGGGCCGCGTACGCGGACCACGGCGGCGGGAAAAGGGTCAGGCTGTTAGATAAAATGTAATTAGCGGGTGCCTGTGATTGAAGGTTGTTCCACGACCGATCGGTCCCGGGGCGCGCCCGCTCGAAACGAATTCGATCCCGTGAAAGAAACGCGATCAAGGCCGCCCCGCTTACGCCGGAATGCAGCCAAGTTTATAGCAGACGCATCTATTACCGACACATTGTGTAATTCGAGAACTACCTGCCGCGCCGCTAACGCGACGCAACTTTTATGCAAACCTGCCGGCTATGACGTCACGGCACCGTATCTTACGCCGGTGTTTACCATCGGCTGCATTCCACCCGGTGATCTCGTTTCTCCCATCCGCTCTAATTTGCATGCGAGGCGCGTCCCATGCTGTCGCACTCTTTCAATAGCGCGATTGCGTCTTCGATGCATTTATGACGAAAGCGATGGAATTAAAAAAAACCGCGCGAACACGAAACGAATTATAGAATACACTTTGTTCTAAAATCTAGATTGATAGATCAGGTATACGAGAGCACCGGATTGCGTGCAATAAATTGAGCCGAGCCATCGAATTCCGAGCACGACCAACGCGATCGCGTAATTCCAGTTCGAATGTAGGCGCATATTGCGCGCGGGGCGATTTCAAGCAACTTTTTCCTTTGCAGAAATCTTCTACGAGGCTCCGTTCGCGAGTTATCGTCGAAAAACGCGGGCCAATCGGGCGGCGTGTACGGTCGCGAGCCGCGGCGGGCGGTAGCCGCGAGGGCGTGGCGTCGGCCTCGCGCGCTCCCCGATTGGTCCGCGTTTTTGCTCAATAACTCGTTAACGAGGCGTCTGTCGAGATTTTCGCAAAGGAAAAAGTTGCTCCAAATCATCCGAGGAATCGCCTCTCGCAGTTTGCATCGCCGGTTTTGTATCGGTCTGTAGAACCTGTGCAGAATTCGCGTAAGGATCGATCTGTAATCCACTGTTGACCTTAAACTCTCCGATCTCGTATTACATGTAATTCCGCGAGCCTGTAATTGTGGATTCCCAGCCGAGCGTGCGCCCTCGCAACTCTCGCGCATCCTCTTTCAGCGCAACGCCGGCTGGAATCGATTCCTCGACATTGACTGCGGACTCGTGAAACGGCTCACCGCCGGTAATGCAAAGCGATTATACCAGCGGAAAAATCGCGGCTCGCCGCGGTGCCGTTAGAAATGATACGTTACGGTTCATTATATCTCCATTGAAGTAACCGGCCGCGCACGAACGTGTACGAGAGATATATACTGTTGCGAGCACCGTCGTGTTATTAACCGGCCGTCGGCGGCGCGCGCTGTTAGCGACGGTTTTGCCCGCCTCTAGAATTCGTTCGTTCGACACATCCACGGCCGATTGTTGACTTAGGGCTCACTCTATGAAGGAGAAAGTGGGTGAAGGCTAGAGCCAACGATTTGCTACAATTACTCGCAATCTTCGGCGTGTTACACTTCGGAGTATCGCGGACGAGAAAGCGCTGGGCGTTGCGTGATCGTCGGGATTGTTGATCCTGAATCGACGCTGAATTCACGCTACCTCCTCGGCCACCATCGCGTCCTTTGTAGCAACAATTCGGTCGTAAATAAATGTTAAAAATCGTAGATATTAATCTTCGCCTTTCTTCGATTATTCGCGAATTTTTAGGCGTAATTATTTGCTTAGGAATTCGCTCGTTGATCTTGTTAACCTGCTACTACGATCTCAAGGTCGTCGTTCCGAGCAACTCTTCCTTATAAACGTCATCCTCACGAGAACGGAATTTATGCGAACGATTTAAGTACACGTTTTATCTCGAGTAGGTCTTGCATCGGCCACGTT